GGAAGGTGAGCGGCCGCCTGGGAGCCACTGGGCGCCTCGGCCTGGATGAGCCCCCCGGCCCTGCAGCTCCCGTGCGTTCGCACCCCAGGAGAGCACCCGAAAGCCCCGTGGCTTCCCGTGGGTACGGGAGGCCAAGCACCCTGTTCTGCCGGACCTCCCGCCCAGGGTGGGTGCTGGGGGCCCGCTCTTGCAGCCCTGGGTGCCTGGCCGCTGGCTGGGAGCAATCCCCAGAGTGTTTCCACCTCCGTGTCCTGCTTCTCCGCAGCCATTGCCATCACCGAGCAGCCAATGTCCGCCTCCGTCCCCGTGGGGTACTCCTTCACCCTGCGGTGCAGAGCCGAGGGACGCACGTCGCTGCAGTACCAGTGGTTTTGTCAGCACCAGGTACCGGTGGGAGCGGAGGTGGATCCCTGCCCGCAGCGGTGGAGCTGGTCCTCTGTGAGCAGCCCTGGGGGGAACCAGGAGGCTGGAAGGAGAGGGAGATTGGATGCATGTCCATGACTAGGGATCCTGCAGATGCTGGGTGGGGCGTGCAATGGAAAAGCTCCTTCTTCTGCATCCCTGAAGCTGGAGGAGGGGAGGAAACCAGGGACTACCACTTTTCCTGCTTACAAGGGGCCTTTGGGACCTTCTGTTACCAGCAACGAGGGAGGACTCACTGCCCATCACCCGTGTTTTCCCTTTAGTCTGTCTGCCACCAAATTCCTGGTGCCACCAAGCAAGACTTGCCCATCACTGCACAGCAGACCCAACTTTACACCTGCAGAATCAATGACCTCTACAAAAATGCCGTCTTCTCTGACTGGGTGAAGGTGGAGGTCCATCAGTGTGTCGCCAGAGGTATGAGCATGTCTTTCAGCTTTTCCATATTTTGTGCTTTGCCCACCCTTGCAACAGTGATCTTGTGCAGTTCCCAGGGCAGTGGGTCCTCCCAGCTTGAAAATGGTGATACAAAAGGATTGCTCCAGCAACGTGAGCCTGCAGGCCTAAGCCAAACCTCTGTGTCCATCCCTCTGGATGGTTCAGGTCCCTGTCATGGTCCCAGTAACTCTGGCTGTATGTACCTGCTCCTCCTGCTGATCACTCGCTGTGGTTTTCCCAGAGTTACACTGAGTGTTTGCCTGTTTAGGCTGGGCAGAGGGACTGGAAGAGGCAATCTGGCTATTTCAAAACTGATCAAAAATAACTCTGGGTGTGGTTGACCTCAGCATGTTGACTGTGCCCTTGGCAGGAAAGGGCAAGCGTCGGGTTTGGAAAGCCAGAGGCAGGGCTTTGGTGTGTCATTTACTATCATGGATGTAGCTCTCAAGGATTCCCTGCTCCAAAAGCAGAAAGGTGCAGCAGCGACACTGTGGGACAGCATCTTTTGGTGCAGTGGAAAGAGCTTGCTTTTCTGGCAGTTTGCACAGGGTCTTATACAGGGAGGGAATATGACTGTTATTTTCTGTCCTTGTGGAGGGAGGACCAATTCTGTGTCACTGCTTTGCAGGAGTGCCCCCTCGGCCCTGGCAAGGAGAGCCAGTCATTGTCCTCAACCCCACTGAGCAGAGGGTGGAGGTGGGAAAGCCGCTACAGCTGCAGTGTGCCGCCATGGGGGTCCCAGCCCCCAGCTACCAGTGGTACCGGAATGGGAACCTGCTGGAACACCAGAAGAAAAAAAAACTCTGGGTAATGTTGTCTTGAGATAGTTCAGAAACTTTGGGTGATGGGAGAAGCTGGTTGCTGGATGTTGGGTGTGGAATAGCCTCAGAAGCCTTGGAGAGACTGCTGAAAATTGTATTATTGTCATCCTGGACATGGCAGGTGGCAGTCCTGACTCCTATCTGCCTGTCAAGGCTTGAGCGTGCTTTGGTCTGTGTGATCAGGTGAATGCCAGCAGAAAGCAGTCTCCTTGCCTGTCCTCCCCGTCTCCAGCCCTTGAGAAGCAGCCTCGTGCTCATCTAGCTTTCCATGCAGTGTTTCAGGGTTGTGAAAAAGCATTCCACATATCACCCCTGTTGCTTTCGTAGCTGACTGAAGGACTCTGGATGAAGAGGGAATACATTTTATGGGCTTCTTTCAGAGCTGTAGATGTTTCTCTAAGTAACTGATTCACAGATGCATCAAGGGCTCTCAGCACATCTCTCGTGACTTTTTGCAGCAGTGGCACAGGAACAGCTATTGTATGTCTGTGCAGGGGACTGCAGAGTGAGCGAGCTGTGGGAGTGCTGCCTGCCTGGGAGAGCTAGAAGGAAAAGTGGTTAGTCCTGACAGAAAATAGTCAGGGAGACAGCAAAAGGTCTGGGTTTATTCTGGGTCACCGGCTGAATGTAAATCAGTGCTGTCTTCCTGAAGCAAGAAAGTCAGATTTCCTTATGGGGCATCACGTAAAGAGTAGCAAAGAGGAGATCCAATTTCCTCTCAGTAGTGGTAGATGATACTAAAGGGGACAGTGGCCTCAGAGTGCACTTTTCACAGGGAAGTTCAGGCTGGGGATGAGGAAGAGGTTCTTCATTTGGAGGTAGGTGGTACTGGAGTAGAGACAGGAAGGCAGCGAGATCTCTGTCCTTGGAAGTTTTCAGTACTCGACTAGACAGCCATGGCCAGCCTGACCCAGTGGTGGCTTTAGTTCCTCTCTGAGCAGGAGCCCGGGCTGAAGAACCACAGAGGTCCTCACCAGCCAGTACTGCTCTGATTCTTGTCCCCGTCAAGGGAGATGGATAAGAGTTGGAAACTCATCAGAAGAGAGCAATGGGCATGATCTAGAAAATGTCACCCAAGAGGAAAAAGAGGCAATCTTCTGATGTTGACTGTGCACTCTCAGTGTGGCTCCTGGGACAGAGTATGGCTATGATACAGGGTTTCAGGGCTCTTGGAGAAAGAATGGAAGGCATTTGGGCAGAGAATTCTTGCACTCTAGAAGCTGGGGTCAGCAGCAGACTTTAGAATGTGGCCTTAGTGAGCTTCTTAGGCAGACAAAAGTTATGGGACATCTTAGCTTTATGAGGCAAGGAATGAGGTCTCAGTGAACAGCAAGAAAAAAGACTTTTTATTCCAGGAACATGTGTGCCTTTGGCAGATACTGTCAGGGGGCTGAAGACTTCCACCATAAATAATGTGATTTAACTTTTCATCTGTCTAGATTACCCATGCAAAGGTCAGTGACTCTGGCACATACCTCTGCTGTGCCTCCAATAGCCATGGAGAGCACTGGACCAACGCCGTGGATGTTCACATAGGTGAGCAGAGCCAACCCATGTCTATTTTGCTGCAAATCACCTTCTAGCATGAAAAGAACTTGCCTGGAAGCACTGAGCTAGTGAGAAAGGAGCCCGGTGCTGGTGTGTGGCTCAGTCGGTGCAGGGGAAGCTGGGCTCCGGGGCGTGGGATTAGAAGTAGGATGTGTGGCCCTGATGCTTGTACCTTCTCCCAGCTTGGATGGATCTTGCATGCTTTTTTTAACAAACAGAAAGGCTACTGGTATTAACTACTGCTTCTGCAGGCAGCTGAAGGTAAGAAACTTCAGTGTAGACAAGCACATGGGACTCTGTAGGGAAGCTGGAGTGTCCTGGAAATCGTGCAGCAGCTGTCAAGGAACAGCCTGCAGAGCACCATTTTGCACCCCGGGTGTGCTGGATAGGGTTATCTTAGCAGAGCTGGGCAAGCCCTGCTGAAGAGCAGGCACAGGCACCTGCCACACCTTAGTAAATAGGATTCCTTGATAATGGGGTTCAGAGCTAGTGAGGGAAGCGGCATCTGTGAAAGAAAGAATCCAAAGCCCGGTGATACACTGTACTGTGGCGTGGTCTGCTGCTGGGTCCTGCAGTCTGTCAGAAACCTGCCACGTTAGGGCAGGTTGAGCACGCTGAGATGCTCACTGTGGTTTTTGTGCCTTGCCAAGGTACTGGTTTAATAGCTCCTTGGCCAGATCACAGCAGGCTCCTATGCTAAAGCTCATTTACAGCCTTGCTAAGATGAAGCAGTGCACTCAGACACATAGAGCTGGAGAGGATGGTGTTTATTTCAGGAAGGTTCAGGCCCCTTGTGGTGGCAGCCCAGCCCTGATGCTGCATGAGCTGATGGATCCCAGGGAGAAGATGGGTCCCCAGAGCCTTGGGCATGCTCCACCTTCTGTGTGACGGCCGCTTTGGCCCTCTGCCCTCACCCTGTTGTGAGACAAGAATAGCACAGTCTAGCTTTGCTGGCTCTTTACTCCATCTAGAGATTTTCCTATGCCATAAGCTTCTCATCTTGCCTTTTAGACTGTCTTTAAAATTTCTCCAGAGTGCAAATTGGTCCTGTATAGCTAGAGAGCACTCTCTCTGTCCCCTCACAGCTGGAAAAACAACATCCAGGGGGGACAGACAGCAAGAAAGAGGCTACCAGATTGGGTTGGGCTCAAAATGTTACAGCTGGGTAGCTTTAACATACAACAGGCAGCTCTGTCAGAGGCAGGAAAGGATGAATGGGCTTGTTCTGATGGCTTCCCAGGCATCTCTGGTACATTAGCAACACTAGTTCAGGTGCTAAACATCTTCCAGACCCCTGAGATTTATGCAGTTAAAAATTATGCCCTTAATTGCTTCTTTTAGAGCCTGTAGGGCTTTACAGTTTCCTCCTGGGAATTTTTTTTTCCTAATTTTGAGTTTAAATAGGAAAAGCTGGGGCTATTAGGGTAGTGATGATTTTAAGAGGCTGGGAGTGCTTGGGTGGGGAGCTTGGGGAGGTTGCAAAAGTGAGTCACATTTGAGGTGGCTTTTCTGCACCGAAACTGCTAAAAGGCAGGGAAAGGCAAAGCAGGGTGGTGAAAGGCTCTGGGAATATTATCGCAATCAAAAGCAAACAGTCTGCTTCCTCTGCGCTGACCGCTCACGAGGAGAAGCTCTCTGTTTTGAAGCTTTATGTTGACCTTGAGTTGTGTTTCCTTTGCTTTTGCTGCAGTGAGGGAGCAGGCAAGTCATCTTGGGAAGTGCGGCAGGCAAGGCTGGTATGGGTAGCACAGACCTGCTGATGGGTATGAGCTCCCCTGTGCTCTCCCTCCTTCCCCTGCTCTGCCCCTTCTCCAAGCTTCGCTTCTCAGCTGCTTATCATTTCATAAATCAGGCAGGATAAAATCACTAGACCAGTGTCTTTAAGTTCAGCAATCAGGCAGTGAGTGTTGTTTGTGAGGATGCTCTGCAGTGTTTGATCCAGCTCTGCGTTGCTGGGGGATGTTGGAGCAGGATTCAGAGCCAGCACTGGGGCACTGGGCACAGGCTTATCATTCCCTCTTTCTTTTCCAGGTACATGTCACTCTGAAAAGTTTTTTGGTGAGTGCTGTCATCTCTTCCTGAGCAATTATTCCTGTAATTAAAAGCCAGGCTCTGGGGTGGATGGGAGGACAGGGCATAGGGGTGCTTTTCCTGCAGAGACCCTTCAAGCCTTTGTTTCCACTGTTGTGGTCTGAGCCCAGAGGGTAACCAAGCACCATTCAGCCATTCACTCACCCCTTCCCACAGTTCTGGGAATGAGAGAAATGGATCAAAAGGCTCAGGAATGGAAATAAGGACAGGACAGGGTGGCTCACCCATTATGGTCACAGGCAAAAGACAGGCTCCTTAGGGAAGAAAAAAGAACATCACTTTAGTTCAAACACTAATAAAACCAACACTTAACAGAATGGGACAGTGAGAAGTGTTACCATATTTTAAAACACCTCCCCACATCCTTCCCTTCTTCCCAGGCTCAGTTTTGTTCCCAATATTTCTATTTCCTTCCCTCAGTGGGGCAGGGGATGGGGCGTGCAGTCAGTCCACCGCTTCTTCCTCCAAGATGTGGGGGGCAGCACCCTTCTGCATTCTTCCCGCTGCTCCATGTGCCATCCCTCTCATGGGAAACAGTCCTCCACAAACTCCCTGGTGTGAGTCCTCCCCACGGGGTCCATTCTTGTTGGGATGTTCCAGCCTGGGTCACCTCCACATGTGCAGTTCTCCCAGCACTCAGCTACAACATCGGGGGTTCTTCCTCCTGTAGGGTCCTGGGGGTCCTCCACAGTCTCCGCCGGTGGCCTCCTGCTGTCTCACCATGGGATACAGGGGAGCTCCCTGCTCCAGCACACCCCCCACTTCTTTCTCCTTCCTTCCACTGACCTTGGTGTTTGCACAGGTGTCCCCCTCATAACTCCTCAAAGTCTCCCCCCTCTTAGGTTCTCCTTTAAGGTATTGCGGAGACGCAGCCACCATTGCTAAATGCCTTGGCCTTGGCCAGAGGCAGGTCCAACCTGGAGCCTGGGCAGCTTTTGAGAAGCTTCCACTGCTGTACCCTACTCCCCTGCTACCAGAAGCCCTGCCACACAAACCCAGCACACCCACATTGTCAGGGGCTCTGCGCTTTTGGGATCAAACCTGCAAGGCACAGGATGACTCCCACCCCCTGCCAAGCCCTGATCAGTCTCAGCAAGTGGAGTAAGATAATGAGTAACCCAGTCTTGACCTTTATGCCTGCCAAATGAGTTTAAAAGTGGTGTTCACATAACACCTTTTCCCTTCCTTGAAGTACCTCCTCAGAGCAGGGCAAAGCTCCTTGCTCCCACCACTGGAGCTCCTTTTTCTGCAGTGGAGGGTGGGGATAAAATGAAAGCAGGACTCTGGGGTTTCTCTCCTTCAGCTCTGTGGGGCAAGGACCTCCTAGGCTGGCTCAGTGCATCCTCCTCCCAGGCACCACTGGCATACAGGACCTCCATTCACAATAGGGCAGTGTGAAATAAGCTCCTACACTCCTGGGATTTTGGTTGTGAAGTGAAAACTTCTCAAGTCTTTCTTTCAGAATGATGGTTTGTGTATTTTGTCAGTGTTCAGAAAGTCAGTGACTTTCTGGAGGGCACTTCAAGCTTTTAGCAGCATAGGGTCTGTCCTTCCCTCCTAGATGTAAGCAAAGATTTCCCATGTCCTCAGTCCAGCAGAAGCAGGTGAGACCTTGCCTCCTGCTGACCATTTACAGCTTTGTCTCTCGGTGTTTCTTTTAGCTACAGGCAAAATAGCGCTTTTAGTGGGCAACAACCACTACCAGCATCATCCCAACCTCATGGCTCCCGTCACAGATGTGTTTGAGCTGAGCCATCTTCTGGAGAAGCTGGGCTTCCAGGTTGTCTCCCTTCTGGATCTGAACAAGACAGAGATGGTGACAGCGGTCCGTCAGTTCCTGCAGCTCCTGGGGAAGGGAGTCTACGGTAAGGCAAAGCCAGCCCAGCTACCTGCCAGTGCTGAGCCAGCAGCAGCCAATGTGCAGGTGACAGCCATCCATGCCAGGGAGGAGCAGGGATTTGGCAATTTTCTGAACAGCTGTTGAATTAAAAGAGAAGAAATAGAACTTTCCTGGGTGGAGGAGAGCAAGGGAGACCTGCAGCATGGTCTGCAGTGGTGCCAGGCTTGGCAGAAGCCCGTAAACACCTTTTAGTTTTGGCCAAGTTACAGGCAGGCAAAGTAGTTTGTTTCTCCATCACATGGCTCACCTCCAACTCCAACAGTGTGGTGTCATGCTGAGGTTTTGAGGAGCCAGTGCTTCTGGTGGCGAATAGGAGATGGTGTTTTGATTTTCCCTTAGATGACAAAATTGAGATTGACTGTTGATTGCCCCCACCACTCTACTTTGTGAGGAGGGGAGCTCCTTTTGAGCCACGACTGCTACAGCTGGCTATGATTTCCTTGTTTCTCTTTCCTGATGTTCTCATCTGGGCCTCTGACAACCTTTTTGCAGAAGAGCATTCCCAGCTGCAGATGGCTCTGAGGGTGGGCACTGGAGCTTATCGCACGCTGCCCTCAGTGGGAAGCGTGCCTCAAACACAAAACCAACCATCAGATCTTGTAGGTCTTAAAGCAGGTGTTCAGATTTGGTGATGAACATAGCTGCTTCAGGGTTTCTGAGGTTCTCCCAGCCTGACAAATACCCTGAAAACACCTTTCAGATTTTTTTTTTTTGCTTCCAAACCTCAGTGTGAGGCTTATCTTCACTGCCCTCCCAGCTGTGTGACATACCAGGGCAGTCAATCAGCCGAAGTCAGCACAGGCCAATTCCAGCCTGGTGCTCAGCATGAGGTTTGAAGCTTGTGCAATGGGCAGAGACATGGCCACAAGTGAAATGCTGCAAAGTCACCTCGTTCCGGGAAACACTGACTCAGGGAGTCTGAGCGGGCGGGGAAGGGCAGTACATGGTTGTTGCTACTCTGGCCAAGCACGTCATCTGATGACAGCATATTCCTGTGACTTCACTTGCAGCTTCCTTTTGTGGTTGCTCTCTGAAATCCCCTTTCATCTCAGGCTTTACCTCCTCTCCCAGGCCAGCATCATCACTGGGGGGCTGCTATTCTTTTCCCATGGCACTGCCATTCCTACCCTCTGTCTATGGTGCATGAGGACCAAATGACATTTCATTCATGGTGCTTCCCTTGTTTTCATAAGCACTGCAGAGAAAAAAAAGTTTGGAAACAGCAGACCTTTCATGCTGTCATGCCTTATTTAACCTTCTAGTGCTTTTCTGCATTTGTGGCCACTGATCCTTCCTGGCAAAATTGATTTTGTGCACTGGCAGGGAAAACATTAACAGCTGAGTTACTGAACCTTGATAAGCCTCAAGTGTTTGCTAGGCAGAGCCTGCTCTGGATGGTGGTTTTCTTCACAGCTTTCTAAGATGAGTGGTCTATTATTATTTGGAGGCATTGAACCCCAGTGCAGGCTAGTTCCAGCAGCATGACTGAGTTCAGGACTGTTGCTGTAATTGGTGGCATCCAGACTTAATGGTGGGGCACTGGGTGATGCCTGCTGATTGTCCCAGGGTTTCTTCATCTGAAGTGTGGTGCCTCTTGCTGTGATGCATCTTCCAGCATTTCTTCATCTGTTTTCCTTACATAAAATTAAAAGAATTAGGTGAAATACAAATAATTGAAATTAACTTGTTAATAAAAATGCACATTTAGAAGAAGCTAACAACTCATCCTAAACCCTATGTATCGATTTTTCAAGGCACTGCTCCACCATAAACATCTAGAACTGACTGAGAGGTTTAGGATTCATGTAACTCATAGGCATGGGAAGATAGCAGTGAGTCGGCAGCTCCAGGAACAACCTAGGCTGCCCGTTAAAACTACAAAGACCCCAGGGATGCCTGTGATACCTGGTCCTGTACATCCTTGTGCATGTCAGATGTGCACCTGCACAGAGCGTGGTGGTGCTTCTACCAGTTTTTTCTTGCTTGAGGAACCTGAAGGTGCCATCTCCTGTGTAGCAACCACCACAGCTGAAATCAGGAGAGCTTTGCATAGACATATGGAGCGAAGCAGGGAGCTGGGGGGAGCGAGCTGGCTGGTGAAAGACTGTCGCTGGGCTGAAGTCTCTGGTATAACAGACACACCTGTTAGCGTGCCTGAGAAGTGAGTCCAGCTGTCTTCTGAAGCTTTGCTCCAGTGGCAGAGATGCTGGGGCATTCATGTCTTTCTGCTGGTGCAGATCAGAAGAGAGAACTTAGCCATGTGGGTTGGTGTTTGAGCACGGTGCTTGTTATTGCTTTTAGAGTTTTATTTTGCTTCAGGGTGCCGCTAAAAGCTGAGGAAGATGCATCTGACCTCCCTAGACCTCTTTGTTATTGCAGAGCTCTCTGCATGGCTGGCCCTCCCTTATGTGTCCTTACTGACCTGTCTGTGATTTACATTCCTACAGGGGTTGGTGGGAAGGGATTTGAAGCCATCAACACAAGGTTGGGTTGGTTGTAGTGCTCCTTATCAGGTCTTGAAGACTTCCAGGCATGGAACCCCCTACTTATCCACCTGGCTATCCCAGGTGCACCACTCTCCAGAGAAGTCTCTCCTCCTGTCAAACATGACCCTCCATGGGTTGGTGCTCATTGCCCCATGTTGTATGCTCGACGCCAATGAGGAGAGTTGGGCTTTGTTGTCTCTGTAACTGCCTCTCCGGGAACTGTAGGCTGTTGTTACACCTTCCTCTGCCTTCGCGTCTCCAGATCATCCCAGCCCAGCTCCTTCCCCCTCTCCTCCCAGGCCCTGGGCCCCAACATCTTGTTTGCCTCTGCTGGCCTTTTTTCAACTTCTCCACCTTCCTTTTAAAACTGGACACAGGATCTAAGTGGGGTCTACTCAGGGCCAGTGAGAGTGGTGACAGCTTCCCTGGCTATCCTGCATCTCCTAGTGTAGCTCTGTCCCCAGCCAGTGCTGGCTCATCTTCAGCATAGTGTCCACTGTGGCCCTTATCTCCAGGCTTGCAGCTCAACCAGTACTCAGCCCTAGCCAAAACGCTGCCTGGGTTCATCTTCCCCAGCTCAGGACTTTGTCCTTCTTATTACTGAACCTTCTCTGAGATTTTTCAGGCCCAGAGCAAAAACTGGCTTCGTTTTCACACACAGGAATACTGTATGGCTGCATGTTTGAGGTGATCCAAAAGCTTCTCTAATTCACCAGATGGAGAAGGTGGCTCATGTGGTTGTTTTTCCTCCAGGTCTCCTCTTAGAAAAGCTGCAGAGGGTTTTTGAAGGCCCCAAACAACCCCTGAGTGGTCTAATTATGCAACCCTCAGGCGAACAAGGAATGCCCCCAGATGTTATTTTGAGCATCCTAAAAAGTCCCAAGTCAAAGAAATAATGTCAGAAATGCAATGAGAGCAGAAAGTTTCAGATTAAATACTAGGAATATGCAGCCATGCCTTAATTAAGCCACATGCTGACATTTCCTGTATTTATAAGCAGTGCCTGGAGCTTCCCCTTTTTAATTTGGTACTCGGAAGATTGTTTCTGTTCAGCAGTTTTGACTCACAAGATGTGGAAAGAGCATTGAAATGCTAGCTCAGAATAAAAAAACCCTTTCCTTCTCTAGGCAAATTGTTGACTTACTGGTTCAGGAGAAGAGATTAAGTCCAGGAGAGCTTTTCAGAGTTGCTCAGCTGAGGTGAAATGCATGTCTTTTTTGATTTGAACATGAGTCTGTGGTTTATATAACATGGGGAGCACTTGGTGGTGCATTCAGGGTGCACAACAAGACTCTAAAGTTAGAAGATGAAATGACTGACTCATTCTTTGTGGGCTTTTCTATAATATTTCAGTTTTTTCAAAGTGTCAGTGATGCTGCCTGGTAATGAATGTCATCGCTTCCCTTTCACGTACAGGAGGAGAGGCAGAGGGATGAAAACCATCAGTTCTCAGTGGCTTGAGGGGCCAAACCTGAAGTACCTCTATCTGATTTTTCCAGAAGGCTTCATGTTTTATACTTTTCTGTAGTCTCGGGGGAGGTTTTTGTGACTTTTTTTCACATTATGAAAGTTTAAAACTTCTGCAAATCAGAGCCCACTGTCTCTGGCTGTCGATCCACAGGAAGAGGAACCAAAACCTAGTGGGCACCTGTGAAAACAGCTGTTTGAGTAACTTTTCATCGTCCTCTAAGAATAGAAACCAAAGGTGACTTGAGGCCTTTTTAACTACGAGATGATGATTTCCATCCTCCATACAATGAGGCTTTCAGTCCTTCAACTCCCGCCCCACTCACTGCATCCCTTGCAGCATCAGAGATCAAAGCAGGTGTCCTGCAAACTACAGGGGCAGAAACAGTGGAGGGAAAATAGAGGAGAGGATACTCAAAGAAGCGTGTTCTTTGGCAGCAAATCTGACTGAAGAATTTCTCCTGCTTCTGCCTTTCAGCCACTTGTTCCCATTTCTGACCTCTCATTCTTCACTGTCCCTCAATTGCAGTAGTGCAACTGTTTGCATCACCTCGCAGAGCTATTTTTAACCCATTTCAGTTCCCCAAGTTGGCTTTCACCAAGCAGTTGCATCAGTGCTGAGAAGGGGTAGCCAGCCCTTATGCAGCTTCCTTTCAGGAAACTACAGCCCACACAGTGATCCCTGTGCAGCAGGAAAGCCCTTTGCTGAACACCGTGCCCAGGGAGAAGCACCAGCTTGGGCCATGCCAGGCTTCTCAGTGCTGGCTTTCCAAGCTGAATGTCCCTGTGTTGCCATCTCTTGTGAAGGCAGAAACTATTGCTAGGTTTCACGTGCTGAAGCATAAAACTCAAAATCAAAATTCTTATTGTGCGTTGGACTTCCCACTGACACCTGTATGAGTCTGACTCCTCTCTGCCTCACAGGGCTGGTATCTGGTCTGAGGTTGTTGAAGCACGTGGACCACATGTTCTGGATATCTGGAGAACTCATCTCTCTCTCATTTTTCACCAGCTTATAGGTGTGTAAATACAGGCAGGTCTCTGAAATCTGGACAGTGTTTCCCATCACCTAATCTATCACTAGACTTGCCTCCAAAACTAGGAAGCTGAAGAGATTCTCATTTAAAAAACTTAATATGTTTTTCATCATGGTAAAATACTTTGTACAAAGATGGTATTCAGTCTGGCAGGTGCTGAGCTTGGGTATTGTAGCACAGAATGTTATGCAAACATGTAAACCCAGTGTCTTTGGGATCTCCTGACAAATGATGCTGGAAACCACAAGTACAGGAGGGCCTCCCAAGGCTGCTTCCAACTCCGTGGAAGGGAATGGACTGCAAAAAAAGTCAAAATTGTGAGGTCAGCATATCTCCTGTTTCACAGATGCTACTGGTCTAGGTCTGCCCTGCACCAGTATCCCGTTGGGACAGGGGGTGGGACATGGCTGCAGGGAGCTGGTTACAGACCTACAGGTTCACATCACGACTCATCCTCTCCTCTCCCTGTTCCCAGCTATATTCTACTACGCTGGGCATGGGTATGAGCATTCAGGGAGGAACTACATGGTCCCCGTTGATGCTCCACAGCCCTACACCCCCGAGAACTGCATCAGCGTGCAGAGGATCCTCCAGAAGATGCAGCAGCAGCAGACGGCCCTGAACCTCATTCTGCTGGACACCTGCAGGAAATGGTAGGATGCTCTTCCCCCTTCCTCCCCGGAATGGGCAGAGCGTGGTGTTTCGAGGGGTGAAGGGAAATGGCTGCCAGCCTCAGCCCCAGCTTCAGCAGTGGGCTTCTACACAGCCACATGAGGTGCTCCTGTGTATTGCCAGGGCCACGTACCCTGCTGAGGTGCTGAGCCCAGACCTCTGTCAGAGTTTACTGGGCTGCATCATAAAATCAGCAAGACTGTCAGGTCTTGCAGGATGTCCTGAGAAGACCAGTCAGTCATGTGCCTGAGGTCTGCTGGAGAGAAGGTACTGGAGACCCTCCCTTGATTTTTTGGGGTGAAGATGCCTGGCAAATACAGGCAGGACACCTAAAGCCTCTGGAGGGATGGCTCTGCCCTGGCGGAAATTGTTGACTGAAACTCAGCCTAGGGCTTGTCTTTTTGTGTTTTAACCCCCTACACTGAACCACCTGACCTGGCAGGCTGTAGCAGCACCTTGTTGACCTTGTATTTTCATGTGTTATTCATGTTTTGCCCACATGCTCAAGGTGGGACTGTTTAGTTCACCTCTCTTCTCCTGGCTGTGTTTTTGTTAACACTGAAAAGAGTACACATGATGGGGAAAATATTTTAAGCCATGCTACTTGGGTTTTACTGGCCTTAAATGCTTCTGAAGTGGTCATGTCGTAGAGTGAGACCTGGGCTGCTGCTGAGGTCAGAGATCAGCTTTTTCCCTCTGTGGAAAACCTATAATCCCCCCTTTGCCTGCAGATCTCCATCCTGCAGCTTGCAGACTGCAGAAAATTATTACTTGTCCATTTTCAGGAGAGAAAATGTCCAGTAGAATCTGTCATTAGTTGATATATTTCAGTCTCCTAAGGCAGATTTACAGGTCAGAAGGACCTGCAGGACACATGCAGAAAAGTCTCCCTCTTCCTTCTGTGGTTCCTGCACTAAGAACCAGAGAGACAACAGGGGTTTTGATACTGCTGCCCTGAAAGACCAGCTAGCCCCTGGAAAGATGTTAAATCTTTGATGCTTTTGAGCTGCAGGGGTGACAATGCTCACTTTGAATAGCTTACAAGCTGGCTGTGCTGCCACTTACCCTGCTGCCACAGCTCTGAGTTGCCAGCATTGTTGGCACTTGATGTCCCTTGATACCTGCCCCGAATGCCCCATAGTGAAGCATTCCCTTTCTGCCTTCTTGCTTGCTGCTGCTGCTGCTGAGAGAAGAACGTGTTGCTTTCCTGCACTGTCAAGTGCCTCCCCAGCACACGTGGCAGCACCTCGCTGCTCTCCCCAGCAGGATCCTGGGCAAGGGACAGCTTGCAGCTGAGCAGAATCTGGCTCTTGTGGATGCACCAGTGGAGCTAGGCTAGTGTGCCTCCAGGCTGCTGGTATCCCATCCGAGGGCAGCGTGTGATGGGGGGCGGGGGTGGGTAGCGTGGAGGCTGCACAGAGATCACCAATGCGAATGGTGACAATCTGAGAAACAGCTTCTGAGCTGATGCTTCCTTGCTCGGTGTTGCCAGCGGTTTCTGTGCTCAGTGGAATCTGAGCGGCGCTTTGGGAAAGGATGCGGTGTGAGATCTGCTGTGACGTTTGGGTACAGTTGTGCAGCTGTTCTTTCTCCTCCCCCAAACCTCACACTTGTTTCCTCCCTTTTCCCACAGCAAGCACAGCACGTAGTGCAGTAGGTGTTATTCCCAAACTCGTGGGGGATTGCTGTAGAAGCTCTTTCCTGAACTAATTTTTCTTGAGAAATCACTGTTTCAGCTCAGCAAAGAGTCTGGATTTCATAGTTGCGTGTGTTTGCACTGCTCTGTAGAACAAGGCTCCTGGGGCCTCCTTTCCCAATGTCCTTTTGGTTGTGCTGATGCTTGCAAGTCTGTTGACAGTTCGCTCGGCCATGCATGAACCGGGAGGACGTGTGTCTGTGCTAAGAGGGATCTCGCCCAGAGTATCTCTTCACCCCATATGCCAACGTCAGAAATGCCAAGGCGATGAGAAACGCATCACCCTTTGCCAAGTGGTAGCAGATGTTCAGCTTCAGCAGAGGAGGAACCAGGAACACAGAGCCTATGTGTAGCCTCATACATTTTGTGCTGATTTTGGGTGGATGCGATTGCCTCTTCCAGGAATTCCCTGATTTATGAGGGTTTCTAGCATGTGCTGCTTAGGACAGAAGGAGGACACCATCTCCTATCTGGGATGCAGATCAGAAACAGATTGCATGAGATGTGCTGTGTAACAGACTTTTTATGTTCTGGAGCAGGAGGGAGTGCTGCCACCTCCTCTGCTGTCAGGCCTGTCCCTGTGTTCAGTCACAGTCTGGAAATGCCCCTGCTGAAGCTTGTCTTCTGAGGCAGGGGGTCACAGCCAGCATTTCTACTGCAGGCACTAGCTGGCCTTGCTGGAGCTGTGGATGTCTGCTGTTGCCATTGCAAAAAGTTTGCATCAACCTGTGTCTGCGCAGCTTTGGGTAGATATCTGCAGCATGGGGACAACAGGACCTCAGCTTAGTTTGAGATCCCATGTCTCATTTCTCCCTGGACCTGGAATCCAGATTTCTGCGTTCATTCAGGAGCAACTGAGAAGCAGATAAATCTCTTTGCTCAGTGTTCATATTTAGAAGCATATCTCCTTTTCCATATTTTCTTTTCTGATCATCTTCAGAAAACTTCCACAAGCCAGATGAATGCTGCCATTAAACATCTTCAGACTGCGCCACCAGCAGTAGGTAGCGTGCTGGCTGCTGGCAATACAACCATTCCTTCTGCTTTCTTTAATGTGCCAGCTTCAGCCCCAGGAAACTGCTGGAATTCAGTAACACAGAGTAACGCCACCTCTGTTCCTGGCTCTTATCCCTGTGTGACTGGGAACAGCTCCAAGTCACTGGTGTATAACTGTGGAGGCCACCGTTCCCCATGCTGTTCAGTCTGGCTGCAGTCAGATGGGCAGGGCTTGGCCATGAAGTTCAACCATGATATCTTCTTCGGTGGAAACCAGGGCTGTCACCATGGGTCTACCCAGTTTTGGAAAGAACAGGGTCTGTGCTCATTGAGCTGCATCTAGACCAGGGTGCTGGGACCAGGTTTTGGCGTCAGGACCTGGATGCGTGTCCTGATCTCATCTCAGGGAGATCTGGAGGTGTGTCAGCCGTGGCATGCTTTGCTTTCCTGCAGCAGAAGGTGTTTGCGTGTGCCTGGTCTGGAAGGGACCTGTGGGGCACTCCAGGCCCCTGGGGTGGTTGAGCCGTAGCCATGCGATATGCACACTTGTGACTTCTTTAGGGACAGTTGTCCCTTGGGCCACAGTGAACCTGTATGTTCTCTGTGCTGTGCCACTGCCTAGATTTGTTAAAAACCAGCCTCAGGGGGAAGGAGGCATGATTGCACCCACAGCTTCAGGCTTGCTTGCAGGTCAGGGAGCAGCTCACCAGTGCAGAGAGGTCGAAGCTGGCCTTATCTACTTGTTTCCCTGTGGTTTGTATTCTTTGTAGGACTCCTAACTTTAGCGTCTGTTGCTGCTCAAGTAATATGAGTGGTTATATTTGATGTGAGGGTTGATCTTATTGCCATCTATAGGAGAAGGACTTGGTGGAGCACATGTGCTGTGTCTCCTCCAGGCACATGCTGACAAGATATCCTAGACACTGACACGTGCCTTCATCTCTTCTTCCAGGTACAACCCAGAGTGTGCCCTCTCCCAGGTGCAGCCGCTGGAGCCCTGGGGCAACACCGTTTATGGCTATGCCACGTAAGTGCACTTTGTCGTCCCCACACTGTGATACAGGATCAAGTGCTGGCACAACCAAGTTTTCTCACATCCTCTCATATGTGATGTCTTTGGAAGCTTGAGAGGGCTTCTCTCATGTTTCCTCTGGTTCTCCCCCTCCATCTCTAGTGTGTGCTGTTCAGGCAGTTCTTTTGTTCCTCCCGACATCTCTAGTGGCAGCCTGTGCACAGGTTATACATGAAGGTGGCATCAGCTCCTGCCATCTGTCCTTCCAGGCCTGAGCCTGATTCCAAGGTGTGAGCAGGTCAGCTGAAGCGTCCTGAGATGATGAGGGTTGTTTACTGCCCCAGTGTCAGTTCCGCTGGCTTTTCAACTGCTGTGACCTGCCTAGGCTGGCAAAAGAGGCTGTGGCCTCCTCCCCCATCACCCTCCATTGCTTTTTCTCATCCCTTGACCTTCCCACCCTCTCTTGGGCCAAAACCAAGCACATTGCTTGAGGATCTAACTTGGATTCAGACAACAGAGTTTGGATGGAGTTGGCAAGCCCTGACTTAGCCCAGGGCTTCCTGCCCATTGCAGAAATGTGAGGACAAGTCCTTACTCTTGCAGGAGTGAAGATGCAGAAGCCTATGAGTTGCAGGATGGGGAGTTCAGCTCTGGGATCTTCATGAAATATCTGAAGAAGCATATTCTGAAAGAGAAGAAGGTTACACACATGCTGGAGGATGTGTTAGAAGGTAAGGGACGAGCTAGAAACCACTTGCTTTGGTAGCAGGGGTGAGAAGAAATAGAAGCAGAAAGCGAGTGGCTCCACACCACCCCATTCCAGCCAGCCAGCCCTCCCTAAAAACCAAAACACAGGCCATGCCCCGTGTGAGCTGTCAGTATCCTGGCAGAAGTAGAGATGCTCATATAGGGTCTGAAAGGCAGGGAGGTGAGTAAGGAACCTGGAGTGACCCTTGCACCTCTGAACTCTCTCCTGCAGACATCGGCCGAGATCCCTTGGTCACTGGGAAGCAGGTGATGGAGATCAAACACACTCTGAAGGATGCCCGGTCCCTGACGGACCCAATCTGTCCCTCGGGAGCAGCTGCTGAGCACTGGGGACACGGCCACGGTAAGCTATGCAAGGTGTGGGGAGGAGAAGGCTGGGGGTCCCCGTACCTCTCAGGGACACCAGTCTGCAGGAGGTGTTGGGGGGACCCTCTGAGGAGCTGATGCCTCTTGGCTTTCCTTTCCAGAGCTGCTGAGCAGAACCATGACCTTCCCCTGCGGGGCACAGGCAGCCCTCCGCTTCCACCGGATCTTCTCCAACGTGATGTATGTGTGTGCCAAGCTGCAACCCCCCCCGGCCCACATCGCTGACGCCCGCCTCCTGCTCTGCCGGCCCACCGTGAGTCCTCTGGCTGGCCCCCTTCTCCTGAATTCTCACCAGGCTCCTTTCCCCAGAGTAGAGTTAGGAGGGTGGTTAGAGTGAGCCCAAGAGGTCCTGAGGGCTGGGAAAGGCTAAACCCATGTGGAAAAGGATTCCCTCCTCTGCTACTTCTGATGCAAATTATCCTCTCTGCAAGCACCTCTTTGAGGGCTCCTTCCATGCATCAGGGCCCCACAGACTGCCGGCCTTGCTCCTAATGCATCACAAAAAGGATTTGATGCCAGTTTTGATGCCTTTAACCAGTTACCCCTCAAACCAATTTCTGTCTGGCCTGATTAAATTATTGTATTTAATCTGACTGAGGTGAAGAGCCTTTCTGGTTTCCATGTTTGGAAGCAGATCTGTCTTTCAGAACCATGCCTCCTTAGCCCTCTGTGCTAATATATCTCAATGTGACAGTATATTTCTTCTCTGTTGAGCTGTACCACCTTCCTTGCACCCTTTCTCACACCTTTCCTAACAGATCACATGCCCAGCTTGGTCTTTTCTGGTGGTCTCCATGCCACCTCTAAGGATTTGATTTGCTACTTCTTTTTGCTAACCATCTTCCTCACTTTCTGTAGTCCTTTTGCTGAAGCGTAGCATGACTGGTGGATTTCTCAGCCCCTGTTGCTCATGGAGGGATGCTGCCCCTAAGTACACTGTGGTCACTGATGCAGCGCCGTGCGTCCAGTGGGAGGTTGGAGCCTGGTCCTGCCCATTATCAAGCTGGAGCATCATTTCCCCTCGTGAGCTCCCTAACCATGCATGAAAGTTATCTGTATGTGTTTGTGTGCATCCACCCCACATCAGTGACTTTAGGGAAAGGGGAACCCAGCTGCTTGCTCCTGTGTCTGGAGCTGTCTCAGGAGGGATTGGGGACACCAGAAAGGGGGGCTGATGTAGCCAGGAGAGTAGAATCCCATCGGTATGGTACTGGACGGCAGTGCTGGCTCACACTGACCTCCAGCGGTGCCTGCGGAGGTGGCAGCACGTCCATCCATGGCAGGGCATCTGCGCCTGTCAGACAGCCCCAGGGAGGAGTGCACGACCCCCGTGCAGGGGGGCGCCTGGCTCCTCTCAGGATCTGGGCAAGCTGGCTGTGTCCTCACTGTGCTGACACTCCTCGGGGATGCTGCGGGAAGCGGGGGGACTGTCTGAGCCCCACTTGCACTGCTGAGATGCAGGAGCTGAAGGCCAACAAAACCAGGCTGGATGTGAGGTGCATGTTGTAAGCCCTGGCAAATGAACCCAGGGAGCCATTTGCTTGAGGAAATAGTTTTCCCACCATTTGCCACATTCTGTTTTATCTAGGTGACTTAGGCAGAGAGCCTGAGTTTGCTGTAGGGCTTGCCAGAGACAATTATGGGATTTTCTAGCATTGATCCATTTTCTTTAGTTGTTCAGTGGTAGTGTTCCCCTCCCATGTCTTGCCTGGCTTGCTTTTTTACTTGACAAGCACTGTCTTCAGAGAGAGAGGCTGCTCTAGGACATATGTAGAAAACAGTGATGCTGAGAGCTAAGAAATTCACATCTTTTTTGTTCTGTACTGTTTCATTCTACTTTTTTACTGTTTACTGCTTACTTTTAAAGCCTTTTATGTTGGATCTCCTTGTTTTATGGAGCTGTTTGACCTAATGGTCTCTCCAGTCACATTTTCCCCAATTTATTTAGACTGTCTGAAACTCTGGTCCAGCCAAAACTCTGACCTTGCCAATTTCTGAGCATCATCTTCATTAAAAAAATGCATTCCACCATGGGGAAATGTTTAAAAATAATTATGAATTGGCTAAAAAAAAAATTTAGAAAATCCTTTTCTCCATTTCCTCACTCCTACACAGCCAGCAATGATAAAGGAGACTAATGGAAGGAAATACTTTCCTGCATGCACTGTAATTAGATTGTGGAAGTCATTGGCACAGGAGATTATTGAGGCTGGGAATTTAGCAGAGTGCAGATACTTGTGGATAAGGAGTTGCTGTTAGCCGAGGGGATTTGAATCTCATGTGTCAGGGCTTTAACTGATCCCTCAAGATTAGGTAGCTCCTGCCCAGGTGAATGTCTTGAGGATCACTAGGCTGGAGAGCTGTGTTCCTGTCGGGCACGGCCCTTGAGAGATGAGAGGTCCAGGAGAACTGGTGGATTTTCAAGGATCCTGATGAACAGGGAGTCAAGCAAAGGCAGAGGGAGACCTGCATGGACGTGCCAGGGGCTCCTAACTGAGCTTGCATATGAAAAGGAGGCATGTGAAAGGTGGAACCAAGGGCGGATGACTTAGGAGGACTGTAGAGATGTGGTTCAAGCATGTAGGCATGGGGTTAGGAAAGCCAAAGCCCATCTGGAACTGAATCTTGCGGCAACAAGAAGGGCTTCAAGTATTCAGCAGGAAAGGGAAAGCAAGAGGAAATATGGGCCCACTGCTAATGTAACAGGGTCCCTGGTGACACAGGGCATGGGGAGGGCTGAGGTACCTGATGCCTTCTTCACCTTGGTCTTTACTGGTCAGACCAGCCTTCAGGACTCCCAGACCTCTGAGGCCAGGAGGAGGGTCTGGGTCAAGAAAGACCTACACAGTGGAGCAGGACCAGGCCAGGGAGCCCTTAAACAAACCGGACATTCACAAATCCATGGGACCTGACAGGGTGCACCCATGAGTGCCGAGGGGGCTGGCAGTGAGATTTGAGGCCACCACATGGTAGTCTTCCTGGGGCCTGGAACAAAGCCAGGGTCACTCCTGCCTTCCAGAAGGGCAAGAGCGAAGATCTGGGGAGCTACAGGCAGGCTGGTCAGCCTCACCTTGATCCCTGGTAAAGTAATGGAGCCAGTAATCCCTGAAGCCATTTCCAAACACGAGGCCAAGAAGGTGGCTGAGAGCAGTCAGCATAGATTACATGGGGGAAGATGACATAGATTACTATGGGGAAGCAGTGCCTGATCGCCTGAGAGCCTTCTGCACTGAAATGACTAGCTCGGTGAGAGAAGTGCAAGGAGAGCAGTGGATATTGTTTATCTTGATTTTGCAAGGCTTTTGACACCCTCTCCTGTAACATCCTCACAGACAAGCTGATGAGATATCAGACTAGAATAAGTAGATGGTGAAGCGGGTTGAAAATTGACTCAGCTGCCAGGCTCCGAAGGTTGTGATCAATGGCATGAAGTCCAGCTAGAGGCCACTAAAGGGGAGCCCCAGGCATCAGTACTGGGACCAGTACTGGTTTGCATCTTCATTGATGATCTGGATGACGGGTAAGAGCAAACCCTCAGCAAGTTTGCTGCTCACACAAAACTGGGAGGAGTAGCTGATGCAACAGAGGGTTGTGCTGACATCCAGAGGGACATGGGCAGGCTGCAGAAATGGGCCAACACGAATATTATGAAGCTCAACAAGGGAAAGTGCAAAGTCCTTCATCTGAGAAGGAATAACCCCATGTACAGGCACAGCTGGGGGTCAACAGGCAGGAAATCAACCTGGCAGAAAAGGCCCTCGGGGTGCTGGCAGTGACTGAGCTGATCAGGAGCCAGCAATGTGCCTGCGCAGTAAGGACGGTGAAAGGGGTCCTGGGCTGCAATAGGAGGAGTGTTGTCAGCAAGTTGAGGGAGATGACCTATTTATCCCCTCTGCTCAGTACTGGTGAGGCCACAGCTGAAGAGTTCTGTCCAGTTTCCTTAGTACAGGAGGGATACAGACATACTAGAGAGAGTCCAGTGAAGGGCCACAAAGATGATGAAGCAGCTGAAGCATATCTCCTGTGAGGAGAGGCTGGGAGAGCTGGAACTCTTCAGCCTGGAAGAGAAGTCTTAGGAGGATCTCATCAATGCATATAAATACCTGAAGGGAGGGTGCAAAGAGGATGGAGCCAGATATTTTCCAGTGGTGCCCAGTGCCAGGACCAGAGGCAATGGGCACAAACTGAAACACAGGAAATTCCATTTAAAACTAAGAAAAAACTTTACTGCTCTGAGGGTGATTGAATATGTTGTTTCTTTTGGAAAACCAGGGCTGCAGAATTGTTTTTTATTTTCACTAATGACCTCAGTGATGTGCCATAGCATGTGCTTATTAAATACACAGATGCCGTAACACTGGGCATCTCTGCAAGGTGCTAAAAGGCAGGGTTAGATTTTAGAAGGATTTGGATAAATTGGAGATGCAATCTGAGGCCAAGGCTGTTATTCAGCAGATGCAAGTTCCTGCATGTGGGCAGGAATAAGCAGTAGCATAAGCACAGGGTGGGAAGTGAGTGGGGGACCAGTTCTGGTCAAAGTCTGCAACAGCTCGTGCCACAAAAGTGGGGCAGGAAACTGTGCCAGTATTGTAAATAAGAGATCCAAGATTTGTGTGGGATCCTCTCTGGATTTTATTGCTATTGCTGAGGCTGCAGTACTTGGTCCAGTCTTGGGACCATGTTTCGTGGAAAAAAGTGTGCCAACTGAAGTGCACCCAGAGTAATAAAAGGAATGAGCAAGAGAATTGTGAGTTAGGCAAGAAAAGCAAGAAGTGGTGGATAGGGGACCTTCAGATACATAAACAGTTGTTTCCAGTGTGGAAGGAAGACAGGGTTTGAGTTGTAGTAGGGAAGATCCAGGTGGACATGACATTTTCATGGTAAAAAGAGTGAATATCTCAGGGGGGGGGTGTGCCTAAGGGCATTGCAGAATCACCATCCATGTGGGTGATTACGGGACATGTTCACATGTCCTGTAGAACATGTGAACATGCATCTGTCAGGTGTGAGGTGTGTTACCAAGCCTGTTTGGGTCACATGATGCCTTTGGTCCATTCTCCCTTATGGTCTATTCTGGTGGTGAGGGTCCTGGCCTCAGGAATAGGATGCAGGCTGAACCTCATCTGCAGAAGCAGGTCAGCAGCACGTGGCTGGCTCTCGAATCCGGAATCATTTAATGGTGCAAAGTCCTTCATCTGAGAAGGAATAACCCCATGTACAGGCACAGCTGGGGCTCAACAGGGAGGAAATCAACCTGGCAGAAAAGGCCCTCGGGGCCCTGACAGCGACTAAGCTGACCAGGAGCCAGCAATGTGCCTGCACAGTAAAGAAGGTGATTTTTTATCAGTTAATCTCTTGGGCTGCTGGAAGATCCTCCCTATGTCAATGCTGAAGGGACTTTGAGCATTTCCCTGCAGTGCTGAGCATTTGCTCCTTTGCTTGGGAAAGGTCACAAGTCTGTGCCAGAGAGAAACTCTTTTGGTTGTTCAATGCTTGGGACTGGCTTCATCCCACTCAGGGAGGCTGTGTGGTTCACCCCTTCCAGACTTCCTCATGATACTTGGCTTTTCATAACCTGTGGTTTAACTTGGGATGGTGCTAATTAATTTGTGCTAGTCACATCTGTTAATTAACACTGGGTGTTTCTTAGGCTGAAGAAAAGGGCAGCCCAATTTCAAGGAACTCAGAATTGCAGAGCAATAAACAGACGTTTGGGAGAAGACTCCAGTGCGTTAGCACAGATGTGAGCATCCCCACCCTGCTAGCATAAACCCAGCTGTGATGTTGATCAGTGAAAATTCACAGTGTCTGCAAAGGCTGCTAACACAGTTGCAAAAGTAGGTACATAGAGGTCATACAACCCAGAACACATCTGTGCCTGCAAGGAGACAAAGGGGAATGGGGCCCAACCCCAGCTGGGGCAGGCTGGTGGATCCCTGGAGGAGCCACTCATGGACAGGCTGCAGGAGTGGGGATGCACTAGGGGGAGGCAGGACTGCAGAAGTCAAAAGACATGTGAGGAAACAGCAATGAGATAGCTATGGAGAATGTTGGAGGAGAGTGCTCTGGCATCATCAGGGAGGGGACTGCTGGTGGGGTGACTTATCAGGAGGACTTCTGGCCATGGACTATTTTCCCCCTAGTGAGTAGTACAGCAGGTTTCAAAAATAATTTTGATGCTTTCATAAGAGTCCATAAAGGCTACTGAAAGCACAGACACCACCTTTGAATTGGAAAGTCACTGATTTTCCCATGGCAGGAGGCTGGCAGGCTGGGCTCAGCCTGGGCAGAGCTGGTGGCATGCACATCCCGTCCCTCTCTAAGCATGTGTTGGAGGATGGAGGTGGCTGGACGCTGCAAGGCCACTCTGCTCCTTTTTGAAGTCCTCCTGCCCAAGGCCAGTGTTAGTGGCATCTAGGCTGATCTGCTCTGTGCCTTTCCATTTGGTCTCCAGGTTTAGTTTAACCCAGCTGCTGGGCTCAGCAGAGCAATGATGGCATCAGGGTAGCTGGGAGCAGGTACCTGATGCAGTGAGGCAGGGAGGGAGAGGGCAGGAGAGGACAGTGTTCATTTGCAGAAGGTGCTCTGCATTGCAGCCTGTCGCCTGTTTCAGGCACAGTTCAGGCGGGTGGAAGGAACCACGACGAGGCTTCCTGAGCTGCTCTATCCCCATGTGAGCTGTGTCCTCCCTTTGCTGGCACACACGTCTCCCCTTCTGCCAGCTCCATTCACTGCCCTGATCTTCCCTAAGCTCTCTCCAGTTTATCTTACCAGGAATCAGTTGCCAAGTGCAGAGATGGGATTTGGCTTTGCTTTGCACAGAGATCAATGGTGTTTCTTCAGCCTGCCTTCAGTGGACTTACTGGATCAGCAATGGTGTTTACTCCTGTTCCGCCAGCCTTGTAAGCAGAGGTGACCCTGATGCCTGCAGATCCCAGCCAGCATTTGGGATCCAACATTTTAGCTCTACTGCCAATATTCTCCTGGCCAGAAACAAATTGCTTTGGCTGCTTGCAGGCAGCAGTTCAGGGGAGGTCTGTAAAGGCTAGCAAGAGCTCCCAGGGCTTCTCTAACCTGTGCCTCCCTGCAATGTCCTAACAGCCTCTTTCATCACATGTCCAGTTCAACTTCTCCTGCCAACAGAGAAAAAGTTTTGCAGGGACTGAACTCTGCTCGTGCACCACTGGCTCCATCTGTGGCTGCAGCAAGCCTGCCCAGGCTGCTCAGTGCCCATGGCCAAAGCCAGGCCAGGACATCCTAGCACTGGCCAAGCCAGGCCAGCAGGATCACACTGTGGCAGTTGCCAAGGCAGCTAGCAGAGGGAAGCGCCTTCTCATAGGCTGTGGGCTGTCACCCATCCAAGAGGGCTCAAATCCAAAGTGAGATGCTGTTTCATAAGGCCCTTAATCTCTTGTCCCTTCCTGTGCTATTAGTGGCTCCAAGAGATGATTTTTACTGAAGAGGATCTCATAGAAAGGGGACTATTTTTGTTAAGTTTGAATAATTCAGGAAGAGTTGACAGTTCTGTAGATGATGGGGGGCTAACTCAGCACCCGGCACAACTCAGAGCTTCCTCTAGCTATGCCCTTGGACGACTTGCTCCCTTCTTGATGCACCATGTATGCTACAGGTAGTTGTAATACTGGCTGTTGCTGCTATCTGCTTTGCTAGAAATCCCATTAGACCACAGTTTTCCCAGTAGATGTGCTCAGGGGATATTTAGCTAGGTCTTCCCATTGATATGCACAAGGCAAGTGTGTAAAATCGCTATTTCTGCTGCATGCACTCTGCAGTACTTCCATTAAGGGATGCAGCATTTTCACCAGCCAGTGTGTCAAGGGCACAGGCCAGCCTTGGGCACTGCTGTGTGCAGAGAAGCAGCATGTTTGATGGGTAGTTGTGCCTCCATGCCCAAGCTGATGCTGAGATTTCTTGCATTTCCTCTTGTTTTCCTGATGCAGGAGATGGGTGATGTGGCCACCCTGAAAGAGAGCTGCCTGAATCAAGTGAAGTCTCTGCTCGCCTCTGTGTACAAGCAGGAGAAGCTAGACTGCGTCTTCCAGCTCTGTGGGCTACAGAAAATTCAGGTAGAGAGCTGCCATGTGCAAATCTCCTCAGTTCTCCTGCACCTCATGTAACTGGTACTCCCCATTCCCTCTGGCCTGAGCTGGATGTGCCCCTCTGACTGTGTGTCTTGTGACTCCATGTGGACAATGCCTGTGTCAGTGTAACATCCAGATCAGTGTTAGAGAAGCTTGTTGATCTTCAAGGCACAAAAGCCATCCTCTTTCTCTTGGTTTGCTCTGTTTTTCTGTGCTGCCTAGCCAGGGAGGCTGTTCTTTTCCTTTATCAGCCATGGGGAGATCAGACTAGCCCAAACATTTCAGATGAAGGATGTCTCACTAGGCTGTGTGCTTGCCTGAGAGATGTGCTCATGGGCTGGCCAGGATCTCGAGCAGTGGGAAGGTTTACCCCCTGCTATCAGGGTGACACTATCAAGCCTGATCCAAGCTATGCCTCATTGACACACTTCAGAAGACTCTTGAGCTTTTTAAAGACCACGAGAGAGTCAGATTTGCTAGTCCCCTGCCTTGTCTCTTCCAGCAGATTATCTCTCCCCAAATAGCAGTGTGCACCTTGATTCTCATTTGAATTTTTTCCCCCTCTAACACCCAGCCAGTGGATCTTGCCAGCTGCTTATCTGCTTTGCTCCATGCCGGCTCACACTGATTGTTGCTCTCGAGCTGCTCCCTAGATCTGCCTACCATGAGCTCCATTTGCTGAGTGCGTGACGTGCCTCAGCATATGGCAGCTCTTTCAGTCCTTGATTGTTCCTGGAGCTCTTTTCTGAACCCTTCCCAAGTGTTCAGCATTGCTTTTAAGTGCAGACGTGAGACCCGGACCCTGCATTGCCTGCCAAAATCTTCTTGCTCCATTATACATCTCCCTGCTTCGTACAACCAGGCATCTCAGGCACAGCCCCATGCTAGGGTTTTGGGCACGTTCAGGAATTTGGCTGCCACAAATATGGTTATTTTCTATTCCTTCACCATCTTTTATAGAAATCTAAAGTAGCACTAGGCTGTGAATGGATCCCTGTGGAGCTCTGCTGTTTAAAACTGTTAGTTTTTACCCTGCAGTATGTGTTTTATTGAGGTGGTTCATGACCCTTCCCTTGCATGCTTTCCTCCCGCGTGTGCAGCAGCCCTGTGCCATGGCCAGGGTGGAGGTCATGCCGTTCCTTGGGTGGGTGCAGTCCCTCACTCCTCCCCTCCAGCTACCCTGTGCCAGCACCCTGGGGGTGATGCTTGCAGTGACAGTACCCTGACAGGGCTGATGAGATCTCATATGAGGTGGCCTGATTTCAGGAGAAGTCCTGAAATCCAGAAACCATGGCTGAGGCCCACCAATGTCATGAGCGAATGTAACAGCTCGTTTTCTCTGGCAGTAGCATTGCTCCATCACGCCACAGCATGGGGCTGTGAGCCTGCATAACAGCCACCCAAGTCTGTCATTTTTGTTGACAGCAACAACAGCAAAAAAGCTGCTTCAAGCTGTGATCTCCGATACACTTTGTGTCCTTTGCTCTCCCCTTCCAGACAGACGTGGTCCTGCAGTTGGATTTGCATTACACCCAGCTGAGCACAAAGCAGAGGACTTGTGAAAGCCTGCAAACAACCCTCGAGAAATCTCTGCTGGGGCAGTTTTTCAGCCAGAGGAATTACTCCCAGCCAGACTACCAGAGAACTCCTGCCTGTGCAGTCAGCATGTGCCTCCAGGATGCATCGACACTGAGCACTGGCCCAAAGGGGCAAGTGTCTCTGAGGACAGGCTCTGGCTGCAGCTTGCCCAGCAGCAACCCCTCCAAATCCAGCAGCGAGCCAGAGGAGAACGACGAGAGCGACCTGAGTGAGCTCTGCTCAGCACTGCTCCGGGCTGGCCCAGGGCAGGACCACCCCTGACCCCAGCCTTGGGAACTGCTATTTTTAATAGAGGCAACAGTAATTCGAGTGCTAAATGCATCAGAATCCATCAGCTGCTTTCCAGCCTCAGCGATCGCCCTGTCCAAATGAGGCCAAGTCTGCCTTTTTGGAAAGTCTTCTCCCATCTGCACCCTGTGGCGTGTGGGGCCTGGAGCCCACTGGAAGTAACCCCTGTCCCGCGGGAGCAGTAGGGATCAGCAAGGAGTTGTCATCGTGTCCGTGTCTGGCAGAGGACCCGGCCACCTGACATGTCACAACATTGCCAGGCAAAACCCAACACCACTTAAAGGCACCAGCTGATGTTTTCTGCTTTGCCTAAAAGCAAACGTTACAGTATTAAACGTGATAAGAAACCCCTCAACACTACAGACCCGTACTACAGCAGCGACACGGCCTCAAAACCCAGCTACAGCTGCTGACTCCTCACACTTGTGCAGGGGACACAAAGCTTGACCCAGGGCACCAGGTGGAACTGCTTCCCTTATATAAGCTCTCCCCAGGGTTGCAGTGTGGTTTCCTTTCCTTGACAGTCCTGCCTGTGTCAAAGCAGGTTTTAAGTTATGCATTTATGTATTTCTAAAGAATGTATTTATACTTGAGGCAAGACAATTGCTTGCCAGGAGAAGGAAGGTCAGATGTTCTGTCAAGTGTGTGTTTACAATGGAGGCTGGTTTTCCATCAGTAGTAGCCAGAGGGCAGGTATACTTACACGTGCCCCTTCTAGCTTGGTATGCAGGGCATTAGAGGCTGCTAACTCCTGTGTGGTCCTGAGTTCCTCTCAGATACAGAATTTTCTACATGTGAGAGACGGAAAAGACCAGGATGGAGGAGGAAGACCCTCAGAAAAGTTATTATTAGTGCAATTTTTTTTTTCTAAGTGCCTGTCTGTGCATTCACTGCAGGCAGCCTCCAGCACCACCTGTCATGGAGAACCAGCTGCCCAGACAGCCACAGATGAGCAGGGCCCAAAGGACAACCCGTGTGGGCACCATCTGCCCACTTCTCTAATATCTGTTTGATAAAGGTTTCAGCATCGCTCCAGGTGATTGCTTAGCAAGAGCCTGGGAGGGTGATCAAATGGTTCTAACAGGGACCAGTGACTCCAGTGAAGTGTGGGATCTCTATCCTTGGAGGACAGTTCACCCTGGCCTGGAGAAGGTGCTGAGGAACTGATCCAAGCAGTCAGGGCACTGGACCAGAGACTACCAGAAGTCCCTTCTGGCTGTTGTGGTCCTGTGAAAGAAAGAAATTGGAGATCAAAGACTTCTTGAGAACTCAAGGATGACAGGGTGGGGAGTGTCCAAGCTCTTGTCTTCTTTCTTGGTCTAAAAGAGGGGTGGAAAGAGCACTTCCTAAGTTTTGGTTCCCTTTCAGCAGTGAAGATACTTGCATCTCTGTCTATGATGTCTGTTACAGCATGGAAAAATAGGAAATATTCCTTCCAGATAAACCATCCTACAAGTGCTGGAATCCTGTCCAAAGAGAACAGAGGAGGCTTTTACTCTCTTCACAGCGACTAGAGCCAAGGGAGAGAGGCCCCATCTGGCTGAAGTCTAGAAAGTGTCCTAGGAAAAGATGTAAAGCTCAAAAAGAAAATAATTTGCAGGATGCAGTTTAAATAAGATGGACTGATAGAGAAGCTAAACCAGAAAATAATAAACTAATTGAAGGGAGAACCAAAGATAATTCAACACCAGCAGAAACTTGAGACAGGTCAGTGGGAATGGCGGGGCAGGCATTTGGGAGAAGCTGAGAGGTTCTTGTCTCTATGAGGATTATACACACCCTCCTATACTCTTGGGGCAAAATGTGTTTCTGGCTCACATAGTCATGACAAATGTCATCTCATGTGAATGTTACTCTCATTCAAAGCGAGGCTGTTTATTTTGTCTGAATAAAACACTATTGGTGTTTTTGAATGTGCAAAGCTTCATGTGGCTCTGAGTTAAGTGTCTTCATTTTTCCCTCTAATTGCTAGGGTGCAACTTAATATTGACCTGCTGGCTTTTTATCCTTTGAACTCTAGCTTCTAGGCTCTTACATGTGAGGATTGTTTCTTTTTTTAGGTAACTGCATATTGAAGTTTGGATTTAAAAGGTGGATCAAATGACACTAGATAGGATGAAATCATGTCAGGTGAAATGTGTAGATAAAATAATATCAGGATTCATTGTGAATTATCCATCTTCTTTGTAAAGTGTGGCTCTTGGGTGGCTGGGTCAGGCTTAGGAGGCCTCCTGTCACAGTGCTTGTCCCTGTCACGAGCATTTCCACTCCTTCAAGGAGACCCTGCAGCCCAGCGCAGGGCTACCACCATGTTTCCATGCACCTCAGTCAACAGTGTAAGTGAGCACACAAGCACTTCAAAGCTGAATTGCAGAGGTGGAGTTTGCATCTGGGGCCTCTGGCCAGGACAGCCTCCTGCCCTGCCACCAGCCTGGTTCATTGTAGGGGGGGGTGAAGCTATATCTGCCTTCATCCCCATACCCTACACATGAAATCTAAACTTCCCCGTGGTGGAACAGTGTTTTATGTTTAGCGTTTAATTTGTTTAGTGCCAGCAGATTTTCTCTGGAATGTGTTTTGATCTCTCAGCACTGAGAACAGAAGACTCATCCAAGATGACTGTGGTCCTCTATCTTCCTGACCTGCAGCCAGAGTCCTCAGGCTCCACAAGTTCCCTGTGGCCAGCCTGAGAGTAGGCCGGAAAGAGTAACCCAGCTCTGAGCAACACACCAGCGTTTCATACTCTGCTCACAGTGTGCCCATGGCCGAGTAGTCCCAACAGCCCACTGAACACTTAATTTCTCTCTTCATTGCTGCTCCTTCCTTCCACCCTGGCTCCTGGACAACGCTGCTTTTCCCCCACCTCTGTGTGACCTGACTTCACCTCTTGCTGCCACATCTCTCTGGCTTGCCCTCTGCCCCAGCACTGACCCCACAGCAAGCAGCCATTCTTCTTTCCACCTCCCTTTCTCATCTGACAATGTGTATCCCACCCATCTTGCTATGTCATTTCATGTTCCCATTGATTTTGAGTAGATATCCATGCCTTTTCATACATTTTCTGAAGTAGCAAGTGGTATCTCCAAACTTGCAAACATGGAAGTTTGATGCTGTCCCACTGCATTTCTTTGCAGGGTCATAGCCTGGACAGATCTTACGGCTGGGCAGTACAGGTGGACTCCCCTGTGTCTAGTCTTCATACTACTACTAGTAAGAAAACCAGTCCATTACTTAGTTTGATTCTCCCAGAGGGACTACAAGAGCCATTAAAGTCTGGGGTTCCGTCATTAGGTGCACAACTGCAAGCAAAGTCAGACGAAGAAATCAGCTCTAACTTACATTCATTCCCTCTCTGCCTCTGTACCTTCACTTACACCAGAGCCGTTGCCCTCTTCCCATTGCTTGGGCCAGTCTGTGCCCAGAGGCTACAAACAGCTTAAAAGCATTTGTTTGTGTAGGTAATATAGCTGCTTTCCCTTTGCCCAAGTCTGCTACGTTTTTTTTTTTTTGAGAAGCACCGAGTGAACTGAAGCCTTAAAACATTCATTAATCTCTGATGAAAATAGCAACACCTAAATATTTGATAATTTTATTTTTAGATAGATGCCCTTTTATTTCCTCTCTGCTAATGTATGCGTGTTGAAGGGAAGGACTTTGGTCAACAGCCTCATGTGCTCTTCTGCTACAGAGTTCATCTGGGATGCAGTTCTCAGCTCATGTGCTGATGTTTAGCAGTTTCTGTCAAAACAAGGCAAGTGTGCCCAAAGAGTGAGAAAACAAGGCAGTGAAAATAGGGAAATGCCATTTCTGTCTGTTTAGTTACTGGAAAATCACTGGCCCAACATGCGGTTGAGAAGCATGTTATATGTGTGCTGGCATACATACCTGAGCCTGGCACCCTTCTGTCTGCAGCAGGTTCCTTAAGGTTTGTTCTCAGTTAGCTTTTTTGTGACCAAAGCAAGGAAAGGATAGATTTGTCCCAGATCAGCCACTCTCCGGCCTCAACCAAAGAAAGAGATAAGCATAAGGCAGGTCTTTATGCAACTGGGAAACTGGTCACGCAAGCAGAGCAGCAAGTTAGGGGTAGGAAGGCAGAGAGGCAATGGGTTCATGTCTCAGGCCAGGCAGGGACACGGCTATGGAGGCAGATGACACCAAAGCACGTCCTCATGCCAAGAGGATCCTCCTGGTACTGTTGGGTAGCCGAGGCATCTGCACATCACTGTGGGTGTTTTGGACACCACTGGGGCATTCCTGCCATGTGCTGTTCTCTTGTATCCAAGAAGCAGCATGGAGGCAAGGCAGAACACAGGATGTTTCTTGGTTCATACCGCCTCTCACTGGGCACTGAGCCATCCCCACTGCCTCTGGGCAACAGAGAAAGACTGGGACTTACTGCTGAGTACCTGAGAACATTTCCATCCTCTGTAGTGCAAAGGCATGTTTTCTTCCTTACCTAGCTGGAGTGACAGCAGAGGGACAGAAATGCCTCCACCAACTCCTGGGCCATCTCTTACCACAGTCATATTAGTGGGTACAGAAACAACAAACATCCCAGCCATATTAGCCAACCCTGGGGTTCTACAGCTTATCTGGTAAAACCAGTGATATTCAGGTGGTTGGTGACATGCTTGTAGCTGGACTAGCCCAGCTGACCGAGATGATTTGCAAGCTGTGCTGTAGCTTGGATAGGTTACAGAAAAATGGGTGGCATGTATGCTGTCAGCATGAAGTGAAGGTAATAAGCATACCTTAGGGAGTGATAAGGGTTGTGCAGATAAGATGGCTAGGTGGTTTTACTGAAGTGGCCTTAACAGAGCAGAAAATGCCTCCTTCATGCAAAGCAGCAGCTTGTCATTTGCTTTCTCAGGGTTACGCTGCCTAATGTGGAGCTCTGTTGGCTGCTGGGGCTGAAGGGGCATCCCAGAGGTGTCTCCTATCCTTGGGCAAACTCAGGGAAAGCCCTTGGTGTGGTCATGAGATGTCTGCAGTGCAGCAGTGTGGCAACACACCTGGGACACTGGCTGAAGTGTAATTTCATTGAAGTTGTTGTTTCTGGGGAAAAATGTCAATATGGGGGCATGTTGAGCCATTTCACTTACCAGCTCACTTATCTCTTTCCAAATTTTTGGAACAAGTCCGTCTCCCTCACACAAGAGTGAATTTGAATTTATTCTTTAGAAACTTGTAGCTTCTCTTTACACTTGATAGATATTTTCCATACTAACTACTACAGAACCTGCCAGATCATTCTCTACTTCTCCTTACAGGGCAGAACTAGTGGTGCTGTCCACAAGATACGCTCACTTGATGCCTCCCACTGTAGATGCTCTTTGCTGTTGCTTACAGCTGTTAAGTGATGAGCTGAAATTTTCTGTGTTGTGGGCCAATCTCATGCTGGTTTCTGGCCTTTCCGACCATGGGAGCATTTGAAATTTTGCAACCTTGAGAATTTTCTTTCTTTTATCCCAGTACATTGGGGTCTGAAGAGCCTCCTGATGCACAGACAATCTATTTGGCCTGGGCCCGGGAGACTCCTTATGGGCAGGATGTGTGCAGTACAGTAGAACATACAGAGGGACATAAAGGGAAACTGCAAGACTCAAGAATGCAGTTTTGGTCCTCTTTCCCTAGTTTTTGGAAGTAGGTTCTCATACAGGTAGAGAGATCTTGAAGGCATTCGGTGGCCATTCCTTCTCAGGGAAGGAAGGAGTTTCCCAAAGGACAGGTTATCATGTTCTTTAGCAGTTATGCTACCCTTTTTGTAAACAAGGATTAAATAGGATGATCTCTTGAACTGACCTAATAGAGGAATTGTTTTTTCTCTAAAATGCACTCGTTAGGCCATTAGCTGAGGATCCCTTCGAAATACCAGTTAGTGGAAGTCTACTTCCTATAACAGGACCATAGACAAGACAGTAATTGAAGATGCCAGACTCAGGACTAGCAAGGACATCTTGAATCATTAAATCCAGGTGGTGCTATCAAAGGCAGTGTGTCACAGACGGCCTTTATCTGTCATGCTTTTCACATGGAGACACCCACGGCAGTGCTCTCCTCTCTCCTAATGCTGGCAATCATCCTGCTTTGAACAGGAGGTTGGACTAGGTCCCTTCCAACCAACGCTTCTGTGATTCTGCTACCAGAATATATACTCAAAAGAGTATACATTCTGGGTGATTCTGAACAGCAAGCAAACTGGGAGATGCAAGATTCTGTTTCAGTGAAATATCCCTGCTACCTGCCCGAAAAGCAAATTAGGACATTGGTTCAGCTCAGCTGGTTCCAAAACTTTTAAAAACAAAAACTTATGGCAGGTCTAGAAAATAAGGGAAAGGTGGTAAAACAGTTCATTTGAAAATATAAGATGGTTCAGATTTCAATTCTCCCCAACAAGCAGATTGCCCAGTGATGAAATGAGGATAGTTTGAAACAAAATGCATGAGTGAAGCCACCCACTGTGAAGACAATAAACCCAAGATTACTCAAATTAAAAAGTAGATAAACACTGCTGACCTGCATTCAGGCAGGCTACCCATCTGCAGAGAGCTGGGAAGTCTCTTTGGAAAGCAAAGACGGAAGCAGGTTTGGTGTCATGGTGAAGCCTGCAGACTAGGACTTTATTAATGGTGAGAAATTATTGATAGCACAGCCTCTTTGTATGGTCCCAGAGTTCTCTATCAAAGATTATTCCAATGACTGTTTTGCCATTGTTACTAATCGCTTAAAATTAGGTCCATGACATCATGTGACAGTGAAGAGAAAAGCATATCACCAAACAAATGAGAATCCTTGAAGTGCTCAAAGTTGCTGCTTATCTTCACGGTTTGGATAACCTTTTGCATAATAACAATTTTAAATCTCTTGGCCATATCACCTCCTCATAGAGATGGAAGACACTCTTTGAAATTACAG